AAAAAAAAAAAAAAATAAAAGAATACAATTTTATGTAATCAATGTAAATATCATTTACTCTCATATATATACATGTCAATCAATGAACAACATCAAAATGTACAACAATCATAAACATTCACTCAAATGTACTAATACATCTCATATCATTTTGTCTAATCTATCGTTATCGATTAAGAATGCTCATAAAATTATACATTTCTCCTTGTCAACGACTACCTCCACCCTACCACAGCTGCTAAGGACAACGAAATTCCAAACTCAACCAATATAAATCACATCGATTTCTGTAAAATACAACACACCCGTGAATAATCTGGCACTGTAAGGGTAGCAATCAAGCCCTGCCATCATCACCTTCGGAAGGGAAGGATTCCAAAGTCACAAAAAAAAAAAAGAATTGGTGTCAATATCAAATGGTTCACTGCACTACGCGGCGCGGCACGCAATTTAATACGACCATAAAACGTTGATTTTATAGAACCCGCAAGTGCAAACGGATGATATTTATTTTGCCGTTAAGAACACATTTCCTTTTTATTCATTATTTATTTTAATAAACGACACAAACTGCGCACCGAACCGACGTATTTGTAAGAAAAATTCAATCTGACCAGCCCAAAATGAAATGTCAGAAAAAGAAAATGTTATCCAAAAGAAAAACAGATAACAGCTGTTTCTTATTGTGAATGGAAAATCAATAGGGTTGCATTTTTTAGAAAACAGAAATTTAATTGAAAACTTGAGAAACTGAAACATGGTGGCGGATCGTTTGCGAAGGTCGATTAAAATTATAGTAAAACAAACTCTGTCTACAAAACCATAGTAAAAAAATATATATATATATATATATACAAAACTCTGTATACAAACAATTTTACCAATGTAGATTTTTCAGCAAGCATAAAAAATGTTTCAATTCCAACAAATTCCCTACGATTCTTTCACTTCAAAGCCCATATCTTCATTCTACCATTGTGAACTACGTGAAATTATTATTTTCCGGCTTTAATTCGCGTTGTTAACAAATTCCAGCAAATATAAATAAATTAATTTATATTTCAATAAAGAATTAAAATGGCTGATGTGCTCGATATTGACAATGCCGAGGAGTTTGAGGTTGATGAGGATGGTGACCGTAAGTACAAAGAAATAAGATCCAGCTTTCTACTAACACGCTACAAAAATTTTACAAATTGTTATTTTCTTTTACAGAGGGCATTGTTCGTCTAAAAGAGAAAGTCAAACATCGCAAGGGACGTGGATTTGGTAGCGAAAGCAATTCGCGCGAACCCATACAGAGTTATGAGCGCGTTCGCCACGAAGACGACGATGAGTTGGAACCGGGCCCACAGCGTTCCGTTGAAGGTTGGATTTTGTTTGTTACCTCAATACACGAGGAAGCACAGGAAGACGATATACAGGAAAAATTCTGTGAATTTGGCGACATTAAGAATATTCACTTGAACTTGGATCGCCGCACGGGTTTCTCAAAGGGCTATGCGCTAGTAGAATACGAAACTCACAAGCAAGCACTGGCTGCAAAAGAAGCACTACACGGCGCAGAAATCATGGGACAAGTAATACAAGTCGACTGGTGTTTTGTAAAAGGACCCAAGCGTATGAAAAAGTCTGAGAAGCGCCGAAGGTAAAAACTCGAAAAGAAGTCTGTGGATTCGCAGAGGTTTTATCTATTGTGCTCATTTATACTGAAATGTATACAGCGAAGTCCGATTTGTACTAATTTAATTACATATTATGATGTAGTAAGCATTTCATTACAGGTTAAATAAAACTTTAATTCAACACTACCGAATTGAACTTATATTTCTTTGAAATAACAACAAAAGGATAAAGTTCGATTACGTTTAACTCTTCAGTTTATTGAAACTATAGTATGTTATATACACGAAATAAATGTCTAGGGCAACTGATCCCGGCCCAGCCTCTACTTCATCTTTTTTTGGTGCAGCAGATGCTTTCTCATAGCCTTTTGTTTGTCGCGGAAACTTTTCTTCACCTTGGAGCGCGCCTTATGTCGCATCATTACAAAGTTCTTCTGTTTGCCTTTTTCTCGGTTCGTTTTAGAGCTGTGTTCATTTTTGCGGCCATCTTTCCAGCCGAATTTTTCTCTATCCTTCCGCCCAGCCATGACAGTTTCTAAACGCGACTCCTTGTCGTGTTTACGTTTTTTATATATCATCTCAATGCTGTTTAGTTTAACAAATTCGGCACGGTCTTTTTCCAACGGTCTCTTACGGGCATTTGTAACAGTCTTTTTAAGCTGTGCCGCATTGATTCGTTTGAAATCTTCGTCTGTGAAAATACGCGTCATAGCCAACTCCTGCGCAGCCTCTTTGACATCAAGAACTTGCACATCTTTTTCAGTTGAATTTCCCACATCATCGTTAGAAGATTTCTTCTTTTTAGTATGTTCCTTGTCACTACTTTCAGATTTGCCTAAAGTTTCTTCTTCCTCATCCTCCTCATCATCACCACTTTCGTCATCATCATCGTCTGTATTTTCATCCCCACTATCATCCTCTTCTTCTTCGTCAACATCTTCATCACTTTCTGCTTCCTCCTCGTTTTCATTTACATTTTCACCCTCATCATCGCTATGTGATACGTTCACCCATTCGCCGTCATTAGAGTCACTATCGTCATCGCTACCCAAATCTATCTCCTTAGAGTCTTTAAGCAAAGCTTCAGCTCCAGGAATCGTTTCATGTACCTCAACCTCACCGTATGCGCGTATTTTACGCTCTGCTTGCGCTTCTGTAAGACGACCGCGATCTTTTTTATGCAGCAGCGCCGGTAGTTGTTCTCGATATAACATAATTAGCGACCGTGCAGCCATCATAACAGATTTTTCTTTATACGTTTTATACATAGCCAGGTCACGCAAAAGATCCTCGCCCATTGCCAAAGGACAACGCATGCAAATCTCACGGGTCGCATTAAGACCAATCGCCATCACATCGCTGGAATTACGCTCTGTGATAAAGTTGTTTGCAATCGTTTTCAGCACTGGTTCAATGATATCGCCCGGTACTAATTCATGAGAGGCCTGCGCAGCAAACTGCATAATACGCGTCACTTGGCGCTGATGTGGTTGCAGAAAGCGGGTGATGTAGGGATAGTATCCAAAGAGAAACAACTGATGTATGCCAATCAAGCGCGAGATTACATCTAAATGCATCAGTTTGACCTCGAAGCGCTCGTTTGTTGACTGCAGCTGTTTGAAGAGACCCTCAGCAAGGCCTTGTGGATTATGCAAGAGGTGTATGCCGGAAAAATTAAATGCCGGAGCATTCTTTTTCTTTTTTTGAGCCTTTACTGCTTGCTTCTTGATTTGTTCCAATTGCTTCTTACGCTTCTTAGTCTTTTTATTGACACGATTTTGCATCAGCGCACCTTTGAGGTCTACTTCATCACCACTGTCAGAATCGTCCGAACCTTTTTCGTCATCATCGTGACCCAGGAAAAATTTCAAAGAAGCAACTAGCACCTATCAGACAAATGGGTTATTAGCATTTACATATCGCTAGCTTAGAGTGAAAAGTTGCTAAGTCCACTTTTTATGAAAACTCATATTTTGATATAGGAGGCTAAAGAAATTGAATACGCATCGTTTCGAAAATTATAAAGGTATTTGTTTTATTTTTTCCTCTTCATAAGCAATAAAAGGAAAATTTGCTAAGTCCAAAAGAAGCACCACAAATCAGATAAGGCCAAAATAATACGACATCTTTTAATAAATATCGAATCCTTCTGATTCTTATGGAGTTTTGCTTTGCTTTAAACGCGCAAAATGTTTGATTCAAAGTCTTGTGAAATAGTTAAAGAAAATGGCTATAGGAAGATTTTTTCCTCTCCAGTAAAATTTTTAAAATGGGACTTAGCAACTTTTCTTTCTAAGCTAGCGATATGTATATTTGGAAATCGTTCAAACCTTCATAACTTTAGAAAAGCAACCAACAGTTGCTATAACATTAACTGTTTTTGGGTCGTTCCAAATATTCTTCTTGTACAACTCAATCATTATATCTACGGACATCTTTGCGGCTTTCGGATTGGCGTCTTTCAACATAGAGTACATAAAATTTTGCAATGTCTAGTGAATAATTTGCCTTTTAGTAAAACTTTTTTTTTTACTTTACAACATTATCAATCTTACCGAGTTAAGCTTCATATCCTTGTGTTTGGCATTCATATTTTTTATATCTGTAATTATATGTGTTTGTAAGAAGGAACGCAAGTTCTTATCAGGGCAGCTTAACAGTTGAAAGAAGAGTTCCAAAAGATCAATGGCTGGTATCAAGTTCTTATTACGCATCAATATCAATGCCTTGACAAAGCAGTTGCGCATTATAGGATCTAATGTTGTAGCATGGTTTTTCAGTAAATCCACTAGGTGTTGTGGGAACTTGGCGCATTCCTCTGGATAGCATTGTGCGACCTACAGTTTTAATATACATAATTATATTGTTTTAATATAACTTTACAAAAACAAAAAATTGTACTAACCTGCGCTATGAATATGACAAGCTCATCCAAAGACTTGTTTTCGTCGCTTGGGTTAAGCGCAAACACTTCCAAGCTGCTGAGGAAATGCTGGTATTGCTGATGGAAGTCATCTTTGTATGAATCGGGATCACGTTTTATAAGATTCTGCAACTGTGGCAGGTTGTCCGGCAATTGATTGTTATGACGCACCATTATGACTTTTGTGAAAATCACAACAATGTTACGTATTTATGGGCGCGTTTTGTTAAAAATAACAAAAATTATAATCGCCCACTGCGCCGTATAGCCAAAACACGTTGTTGGCACCTACGCAGCTTCTTAAAAAAGAACCTATTCACAATTTTGAATTGTTGACATTAGTTTTGTTCCTCTCGTTCCTATATAACAAGTGAGAATAGAACTTTCTATGCAATTGCAAATTATTTTATTAGGGTAAGCTTGTTTTAACCTGGTTATATATTTTAACTTCTTAATGATAGAGCTTTCCCACCTTTAGCTTCGATTTTAGATAACGTGACACATATTTTGACCCTGCTCGAAGAGTAAAAAATATGTACAACTAGGGTTTTTGATTTCTTTAAAATCGTGTGTCTCATTCAATTTTTTCTTCTTCATAATTTTTTTATATCTGAAATTTCTTCAGCAAATAAAAGCCCAAATATCAAATTATATATTAAAATTTCTCTCTTTACGAGAACCTCTGATTTGCTGCAGCAAGCATATCTAATTAAAGCTAATTGAAAGATTTACCTATTACCCTATGCTCCAATGCGGTTAATAATCATATGTATATATACATATATGTACACTTAAGCCTGTACAAACATACATACAATTGTTAAATCTTTTTGACTGAAAAACATGTATTGCAGCAGAAAAACAAACCTTTTTATTTTCTACCACAAATGATTGCTAGTAGCAAAGTATGTACATATGGATGTATGTATATCAGAGCCGTGAAAAAAGGTAAGAGTAAAATTTCTGTGATCTATGCTCTTCACTCCCGCTCACGATCGCAATCAGCTCTTGCAATTTTCCACACGCCAACTTTTTGAAGCGATTAATGTTGTGGTGGTGACATCACATTGATTGACCACCTGCTCTAGCCAATTCATGCAGGTACTCTTTGCATTACTTATCTTTTAGTTTTTCACGTGATAACCGAGCGCTGCTCTCTCGTAAAAATTTTAGTTAGTTTATGTGAGATAACAACTTTTCCTTAATATCAGTTGCTTAATGTGTTTGGCCAATGTTTAATCGTGGTGCTAACAAAAGATTAATTTTTAAATATAAATAAACAAAGCAAACTCATGCAAAATTCGGCATTATTGTCTAAAGTTCATTTACTGGCACAATGAAATTGCGAATACGAAAACGAATTTTTCCCAGGCGTTTAGGCGATATCTTATGTTTTTTATTGATAGTAGTCTTTTTGCCACTTGTTGCTTTTTTCGACGTTGTCGTTGTTGTGCCGGCTATTCACACACCGGGCGAGTTTATGCATAGCTTTATATTTACGATCGCAATGTTTCTGATTTTCAATATAAATGGAAATATGTTTGCCACCATGATGGTGGATACCAGCCTTGATGGTAAGTTATATTATTTTGATATATTTTTGTATGAATGTACATATGAAAGTAGTTATCCCACCTTTTTATAGCCATAAATCTGATAGTCCCAGAAGATGCTTCAGAAAATGGATGGCATAGCTGTGAACGCTGTAAGAAGTTGACCCCTCCAAGATCTTATCATTGCAAAGGTAAACAACTAGTATTTCTTTAGAAAATATTTCAAGTGTATTTTACTGGCCAGTAATAATTCAGCAGAGTTAAATTTATAAAAAAAGGCCGTTATATATTCATATATTGAGTAAATATTTGATAAAACATCCCAATAATAGAATTGCGTTTAAAGTAAAGAGCGAAATACACAACACAAGCGGCTTGACAAACCAAGCGAAATTTCCCTTTGCTTCAAGCCATTTGTGCTGTGTATGGGGGTGTTTGAAGGTTTGACAAACCGCCGTCAAACCTTCAAACACCCCCATACACAGCACAAATGGCTTGAAGCAAAGGGAAATTTCGCTTGGTTTGTCAAACCGCTTGTGGTGTATTTCGCTCTTTACTTTTTCAATGCGATATCGTTATGCTTCTTTTGCAATATAAAGAGCGGACGGTCTTTCTGCAGTTTTTACTATGGCATTTAGATATCAAAATCAGGGTACGAAAATAAACTGTACAAAACAATTCCCATTTGCTCATCGATCATCATATCATTTGTGGTTTTGTACAGTTTTGTAAATAGTCAGAAACAAATTGTAAGATTCACTTTTCCCCAACGAGAAACGTTTGCTTTTCGTTTGTGACAATTGTACCATAGGGTACGTTTTATATGTATGCAAACGTTTCAATTACGTGAAAAATAATTTTTTCTGTAAATTTTCATATCCAATTCAATTAAAAAACATTTTAATTTTTTTTATTCATTGCAGCCATTCGTTTTGTATTTGTTTATTGCATATATGTACATACATAAATATATTTTCCCTGCACGATTCATTTCGTTTGTTGTTTCGTCTGTAACTACTAAACTACTGTAGTGTACTATCGCCAAAGTGAACTCAGCCGTTTTGTTTCGTATTGTACCGAACTGTTAAAGTAATAAACGAAACGAAATAGTAACGTACAATATAGTTTATTTTCGTACACTGATCAAAATAATAATAAATCATTCATTAGATACTAGTAAAAAACCAATACAACATGAAATCTATACAAAGTAATTTGTTATATGTTATAGGTATTCACGAAATCAAGCAAGTGAATTGGCACTATTTAAGTTATTTAATATTTTGGTTTATGGAGATTTTAAATAACTTCTTGTTTTTTTTTCAGTTTGTAAGAAATGCATTTTAAAACGAGACCACCACTGTGTCTTCACGGGCTGCTGTGTTGGGCATTACAACATACGATACTTTGCTTTGTTTCTTGTCTACATGTTTGTCGGTTCACTGCTCTCCTTCTTTTACTTGAGTTATTACCTATTTTGGGTACGCGCCGAGACCTTTCGTCACATACTCAGCTTATTTAAAATGTTGGGTCCGATACTAATGGTAGCCCATGGCGGTAAATGGGATAATCTTCCGCTTCTATATTACAATTTAAATATAGTAGCATTAGTAATATCATCTATATTATTGGTATATCATGGAATACCTATCATCAGAGGTGGTACTTCTTACGAAAGACGCTTTAACTATCCATATGGAAGAGATTTCTACAGCAACTTGCGTACCATTTTTGGGAAAAGAATGTATTTGGTGTGGATTTCGCCTTTTATTGGCAGTGAATTGTTGGACGATGGCGCAAATTCGGAAGAGGTGTTGGACAATGCGCCATTGCAGAGGCCATCAAGTCAGAAGCTTAGAAACAGAGTAAATCATCATTCTCGTAAGTCGCGCTTGGATTAAAGCTAGTTTAAATAGTTATTAACCCTAGACTTACTAGAACCATGTTCTGTAGTACGTAGTTTAACCCTGTTGTTTTACAAATAAAAGTAAACTAGATGATATGGCGGTCGCTGTGGAGGAATTGTTGGCAGTGTGCGTTACCATTCCGCAGGGCCTGGAATTATTGAAAACAACCACAAAATAAATGTAAAATATCTGTACAAACGTTATTCGGGTATATTGCTGAAACTACAAATATCTATACTGAAATAAGTTACTATTCTCTGAATCACATATAAATACCTGAAAGAGTTTTTGGAATGGTGCTGGAGTGACAGTCCTTTTGATCAGATATAAATCCGAGCCGCCAGGTTACGTAGACCACAGGTAAAGGGGGTTTCGTCCAATTCGACAACTCATGGATGGCTAATCTGGCGGTCTTCAAAAAAAACCCACCAAATTTTTTAAATAACGACCTTGGCAGCTCCCTTTTGTTTACAATTGCAATTGGTCATTTGAAAAAGAAGCAGCATGATTTGTTGTAAGTTGGCACCAGCGATTGGCCCAATTTGTTTACACCACAAATTATTTAGTTTTATCTTAATTACGAAAAGCGGAATAGATACGGCGTGAACTTTTGTAAAGATCTGTTAAGGAAGCGATTTGCTATGCTTTTGCGGCGCAAATTCCTGCCACGTTCATTGCGTGATATCGGCTGCTTTTTGATGATGTTCATCTTCATACCAATAACATTTGTATTTGAGATCACCATAGTGTTACCCGATTTCCACGCCACAAATGGCATCATTTACATACTAACCTGTCTATTAGGACTATTTTTGCTATTCAATTTGCAGGCGAATATGCTGGCATGCATGTTGATAGACACAAGTGCGCGTAGTAAGTTGATGAATGTGTATATAAATTATCATATGTAAAAAAAAAA